TGAAGAACGATCATTACTTTATTGCTGTAAGACTTTGGGGGCCACAGATTGGCCTGCGTTTGAGTAAGATGGAGTTACTTGTAAAAATCGTAGGATTGCATGAGTTTGGCAACCTACTGTAGTTCCTACTTTCAGTCATCGATTGTTTACCAGTCTGTAGCGATTACCTACGGCTTCTGGGTAGTCTGTCCGTTTACAGTGCACTTAAAAACCAATTTTTCTTTAGGTGTTTTCGGTGTAGTTAAAAAATGTCACGAATTGCATTGTTGTTTTTCAATATTTACTTCCCAGAGCCCTTGGGCTACCGTCGTCCAACCCGTATTCCACAGAACCTTGCTTTGGGCTTGCGCATTGTTCTCACATATTAGTTCAAAACAGAGGTGTCTACTACTGTTCCAAAAGTGACATACCGATTGCGATGCCTGTCCAGCGTCTGATTGCTGTTGAAGTTGTCTGCGGATGCGCGTGAGATGCCGTCGAAGGCAGAGCTACTCTCGTCATCGGAAATCTGTACGTCGTCAGCAAGCATCATGCTGCAGTCCTCATTGGCTCGAGTCTGTCTCTCACGCAGCAGGGTTGCTGTCTCCCGAGCCGCGGTCAGGCTCGCCTTGGCTCGATCCAGCTCCGCGTACAGGTCCGAACTACGCCGCTCCAGGTCACCAACTTTTCGCACGTAGGTATCCAGGCTATCTTGGAGGTCAGTGACCTGGCGTTTCAAATGTCGATTGTCGGTTTTTGCGGTTGATTCACTCTTCTGTGTCTCGGAAAGTTCTTGCTAGAAGAGGGTAGAGAGGAACAGTTGTGAGGAGAGGGGACGACGTATGTGAGATCTCCATTGCACAACTTAGTTGTCTCACCGTCTAATCGAGCCTTGTTGACGGATTCCCATTAATGTAAACCCAGCGAGCAGAAACCATGATAAAATAAAAACAATTCAAACCACTGGATAGTCGCGGGGCACGGTAGGGGATATAAGATTCATAATTTAGGGTCTTCAAAAACTGGTATCGGTAGTTATCACTAGTCACAGCGTACCGAAATGGGACTACGGATACGATGAAAAGCATTACTGGGCGTGCAGCATTGCTTAACAAACAAGTTAAGTTTAAACTTCAAGCTGCGGTTCCTGATGTAACTGGTATTCTTTTTCTACCCCTGTTTGAAGTACTACTATTATTATGACAACCATTAGTAATACTGCTGCGACCGCAACTGATACTTCTATCGAGGCAGTAACTAAAAATATAAGTACCAGCACCTGGATTTCGGGATCGTCCTCCGCTAAAATAATTCATTATAATTTAAACATGTTCACCGAACTTCTGGCCTTTGAATGAGTCTCGTTCAGATCATCTGGAACAGCTACATTGTCTAGAAATACCTACTTAAGAAATTCGAATATTCTCCATTGATTTGCACTGCCCTTATATAGAGCTGCACATTGCTGCTCTTTTTTGTACTAATTAAGTAGCAAATTAGGTTTTCGTCATTATTTTTACTGAAAGAAATAGCATGTTTCGGTTTTAGGAAGCTTTTCAAATTCCGAATAATTTTGAACCGAACCTGTAGTTGCATTTAACCTCAGGTTTTCAAAACCACATCCTCAATACCTTCCATCCAGGGGTATTCGCACGTTTGTTTACAATTTTTGGGGAGAGTTCATAAAATGATCATAAGATGTAGCAACGAATGTGGACCATATTGTATACTTAATGAGTAGATCTACTAACGGCACGGATACGAGGCCTTATCTATCAACATTTCACAGCCTTAAGAAATGTCATAATTAGGAAAACCGTTAAAATATCATTTTTTCAAATATATAATATAAAATTTAATTTACTTTATGTAAAAAATGAGTATGAGAAAGAGTATTCGTGTAAACCCTTTCTATAAAATATGTTTAACGTTATAAAGGCAAAAAAAACCAATTGGAACAATTCACAGGAATGAATAACCATGTTCTACAGAGTGTAACTTTTGCAGGCGATCACAAAGAAGCTAGTTTTAAAATTCGCCTCCTGATCTAACTAAAACCTCTTTGGATTCTTCTGCATGATAATCTGCATTACAATTCTTATAAAGTAATTTTTTCGAAGGAAATATAAATTCACGGTTGTACTGTATAGTGTTGCTGCCGCTGTTGCTGCGACTTCAAATGATACTTATACCAAGGCTGTAAATACCAATTTAGGTGGTAATCTATCTGTTTCGTGATAGTCGCCCGAACAAGTCCATATACTACCAGGATGCCTTGGAGAAGGAGACATTGCACTCGAAGCTTCTATGTACATGAAGTTTGCATTAACTGGGCATGTCTATAGTTAACCTAGCACTACGACCAAGTTTGGAACTGGTGAGCAAATTGACGACCGACAACTCGATCGTCGATTCTGACAATTTCCACCATGCCTCCTCACAATATAGTGGTGCAGGGACAGTGACTTAAGTGCGTGAGTAACTCTATAGTAGCAGTAGGCTTGCGCCGCATCTGCCACACTCTCTATTCTCCCCATCCACTCGCGCTCAGTGAAGATCGGAGGCGGGAC